CTGGTCTCTTCGTCACAAATACTTGGAATTTAGTGCAAATGTGATGGAAAGTCTACACGTTTCATTGCAATTTTGAGTTGCCAACTTGTCAGTCTTCAATAGTCACAGCCAAGCGAGATGACACCTTCAAAACAGAATCTGTCTAACCAAATCCCCAAATATGTCGGGTTAAAAATCATACAGATGGAAAAATAATTATTAAAAACTGCTCCGAATTCCTCCGCTAGGTTTGTCACCTTTTTCATCCCTTGTGAGTTTGCAGGTATGGACTGAACAATCTCCCTGTCTTGGAGTCTATAAGGCAACTTTCAATTTCTGTTAACCTACAGTAATGCTGGCGTAAGGGCTTAGTTTCATGTAAGATAATCCCCACACTAACAGGAACACCTTGTACAGGGTGGTACTTGAATATTTAAATGGAGCACAGCAGATGATGTTGCCTCATGCAGTTTGTGAACTTTTGAAATATACTGCATATTACGCAAATTAATTAAAGTCTATCTAAGCTCAGCTCTGCTCAAACACAGCTGTCCTACAAAAGCTTTAATTCCTGTTTTTGTATTTCATATTTCTACTTTCTACTACTACTTTCAAGTCATGGCCATGCACTTTCACTTTCAGCACAGCCGATGTAGGGGACAACTAAATATTGTGTAGCATATTTTGTTGAACAGAGCATGGTAAGTTTATTGTAACTGATCTGTAAAATATTAACAATAATAAATTCTCGTCAATCCTCCAACCCGCTTGTCATTAGCTACGTGCCTCTCAAGTTAGCACGCTAATGTTTAGATAAGCTAGCATCGGCTATTGCCTTGTAAAACTTTATCCAGGTTAGGGTGACCAGACGTCTCCAATTTCCAGGGACAGTCCCCGTTTTGGACGACCTGTCCCCAGTAAAAGCTGTCCCTGGAAATGTCCCCGATTTTAGAGTTTTATGACTGAGAAAAAAATATTGTGTGTAGACTGTTGTTACAGTAGCCGGGTAGAATGTGAGAGACGTGAGTGAGTATAATGCGTGCAACAGCTGTTACTGTAGCTGCTCGCGCTGCCGTTAACTTTACAGACAGAGAAGAAGAGTCGAGGACACTGCCTTTAAAACAGTAGAAGAAGAAGAGCCGCACAAGCTTGTCACCTCCGGCTGTCCTGTGATATGGCATGTGTGCACGGATTTATTTTGTTTGAACTGGGATGACCCTAGCTGTGATAAACGTTTGGTTCATGGTAGGAAATGTTTCTAGTGTTGTCAGCTGTGCTCAGGTGATGGTGATCATTGATGGTGATCAGTGATGGTGATCAGTGATGGTGATCAGTAGGGTTGTACATCTCTGTGTGATAGACGATTCGATTCGCATCTAGATACAAAGGTTACGATTCGATTCAAAAACGATTTATTTTAAAAACAGAACGATTTGATTCGATTCGATACAGTGGAAGAGCGATTCGGTTCGATTCGATTCAACTTTATATAATTCTACAGTTTAACATTTGTTGAATGTAGACAAATATTAATTATGAACAAAAAGGGCCATTTCTATAAATGTGACATTCTTACATTATTTTTAAATTTGTAAAAGTTTACATATATCATATCTAAAAGCGTGCAGTAAGGCACTGGCAAAAATAAAGTAAAAAACCAAACAACAGAATCACATGTCAAATGTGTTTATTTTTAGACATGGACCTAAAAAGACCAGCTAAAAGAATATTTCTTTGTTTGATGGGATCAGTATAAAATGAGAAAATAAAGAAAAATGATAAAATGCACAAATGATTACAGCAGCATGTAATAAAAAAAATAAAATAAAATAGGAATAAGCTACAGTAAGCACAAAGCACCTGTGCAATAACCTGTCACACACCCTGCGTAGTTTGGTAGTTATGTGCAATATATATCATGTGCATTTTAGCTTATATTACATTACTACCTTGAAATACTTATTCACACAAATTCATTCTGCTTCACTGTAAAAATTCTACAATGTTGTTTACCATTTTTCTCTTCAGAAACTTTGTAAATATTATAATTACTTTTTCACTTTTTGGTAGTTTATTTTGTACCCTTATTGCATGCTTTAGTATTTCTTGTTTGCTTGTTTTTTGTTTTTTAGCAAGTCAAATCGGTTCTTCTCATCCTGAACATTTCATTGTGTTAACCTTGCATATGACAAATAAACACAACTTGAACTTGAACTTAATAATACAAAAACATAATGCAAGAACAGTACGCCTAACAACAGCAGCACGAACATGAGTTTGTGTGAGCAGGTGGGCACAGATTAATATAACATCATGTCATTTAAACAGCAGCATGAGATCAGATCAGCAGCATGGATAATCAGCAGCACATATCAACAGTCAAAGTGCCGATTACATGTATAAAAGAAATCAAAGTGCAGCTTTCTGACCTGGTGAGGTAGTCTGAACAAAAGTAATGTCCTGCATTTCTACATTCACGTCAGGTTCAATCTGAACTCAAACACAGTGAAGTAGTTCACTTCCTTATGTTTGTATGTTTACCTATATTTTTATTCGTCATAATCACTGTCCTCATCTTTTTTTTGCGGCAGATTTTTCTTAAGGAAAATCAGCTGATCCACATGCTCATGTTTGAGTAGACTGTGTTTTGTGGAAACAATATCTCCTGCAGTGCTGAAAACTCTCTCAGATGCCACACTGGTGGCCGGTATGCACAGATACATTTTAGCCATAGATGACAGCAGTGGCAAGTCCTGTTGCTCTTTCCACCACTGTAGTGGGTTTTTTTTCAGGGGCAAAGGATCACGCTCTCTGTACTTCTTGACTTCTTCATTGGCCTGGTCCCTCACAGATCTAGATGCCGTCCTTACTTGAAAGTCTTCTCCCAACAGCTGGTCCAGGACTGACATTCTCTTCTTTTTACAAGGAGGTTTATCATCTGAAATAGAAAACAAGTACCTTAAATATTACTGGCTATGTTTGCCATGAAGTTTTTTAATTGACTACCATTTTATGTATAAATCTTCATTTGATGTTCAGAATTTATTTATGTAAGGACTCGTGTACATATGTAAAATATGTATCATTATCATCATCATTATTATTTAACTCTTTCTTTGCATGCAGATCCTCTCATTATAGTGAATGTGTTTTATACTGATACTATGACTGCAGCACAAGTTTAAGACAAAGTCTTCTCGTTCTTGATCACAAGTTATAAAACACACAAACCTTTATGCTCATCTTGGGTCTGGGGTACATCAATGCAGACGTCCGGATCTCCATTTGCAGGTTCAGTCTGACATGGATCAGTCTGCACTGACTGGACCTCTCTGAACTGAACCCCCCCCGTTACCTAGAAATAAAACATGAAATAACATTTAGTGTACAGTATGGTTAAATGCAGTGTAAAGAATCAAATAAACAGTAGTCAGAATAAATCTAATGACAGCAACAAAACACAGCAGACTGTAACTGAATGTACTGTAATATGTATTTTGTCAGTGTGTTGGGGGATTTACCTTGTGATGCAGGGATGTCTCTTCTGCTGTTATGCTTGTGAATGTCCTCTCTGCATCATGGTTACTGAGGAAGGGCAGGGACTTAAAACGGGGGTCCAGAGCTGCTGCAGTGTGGAAGAGATGTTCAAGGCCTGTGTAGCGTTTCTCCAAGTCATTCTTGAACGCCTGCTTCATCTCTCTGATTAACACTGAGTCTTCATCTGATGGTTCAAAGTTCTTTTTAAGCTTTGCTTTTACAGGAAGAATCATTGAGAGTGTGGGTCGCTTGTCTTCAGACATGCTGGTAGTCACAAGTTTGACCGGCGCCATCAGTTTGACAATGTCTTCAATGTCGCAGAAGTCTTTGTCCTTGAGAGTATTCACCTCTTCTCCTTTTCTGAGGTCCCTGGACATGAGTGCTGCAGAAATCGCAGGATGTTGCTCAAAAAAGCGTTCAAGCATGTCATGGGAGCTATTCCACCGCGTGGATACATCTTGGATGAGTTTGTGGGAAGGCAAGGCTAGTTGTTTCTGTTTCTCTTGAAGGATTTCTGCTGCCCTCACACTACGATGAAAAAAGGCAACGGCTTTCCTCACTCTCCCCAGCAACCTTGCTACTGTGTCAACTTTAAAGGCTTTCTGTGTGGCGAGATTAATAGTGTGTGCAAAGCACATGAGGTGAGGGGTCATCTCTGCTTCCACTCCAGCTAATACCATGTTTGTGGCATTGTCTGTCACCAGGGCTGGATCTTTATCAAGAAGGTTCCAGTCAACACATGCCTGTTTTAGCAGAGCACCAATGTTTTTCCCAGTGTGGGATCCTTTGAATGCCCTGGTTTGCAACACATGCACATTTAACTTCCAGTCTGGAGAGATGTAGTGGACAGTGATGGTCACATAAGACTCAGTGGAGCATGACGTCCAGGCATCGGTTGTAATAGCAACTCGCTCTGCATGTGCCAATTCTTTTTCAACTTGGCTCTTCACTTGGGCATACAACGCTGGCATGCATGTGTTTGTGATATGCTGCCGGGACGGAATCTTATATCTGGGCTCTAACGTATGAATCAAATCCTGAAATCCTTCCCCCTCCACTATATTGTACGGCCATAAGCCCTTAGCTATGAAACGGGTTATTGATGCCGTTATATCCTTAGCTCGTGATGAACTGTCGCCGAGTTGCCTGTAAAATTTAGTGATAACGTTACCCGTCGCTCTCTGTGTGGCAGCTGCCTGCTCCTGCTCGTTGTTATGGGGCTTGAGAAGTTCGCCATACTCCTCTCTGTGTTTTCTCGTTGCATGTTGATCAAGGTTTGTTGTGCTACCAGTGTACTTCAGAGGTGCTCTGCATAGCTTACAAATAGCGTGGTTTTTGTCGAGTTTTCCGTCCTTCTTGTAAAACCCGAAAACGTTCCACACTTTAGACTTTTGTCTGGCTGCTGTATTGAAAATCTTTCTCGGTGACCCGCTAACGCTGCTACTATTTACATCCATTCTCGTTGTCTTGGTGAGCTACGGAGCATGCGTGAGAATAGCTTCGCGGGCATTTCCGACTCTTGCGTTGTTTTATAAACGCACTGTCAACCGAGCTAGTCTCGCGATACCCGGTTCATGTCTCTTCAACCGGTTCATCTCAGCATTTGTGGCTGGTTGCTGTC